TTTTCTGAAAGAAAAAAATAAAAAGGACCCTGCTTTGTGGGCCATGAACCAAATTGGAGTGAACCATCCCTGTAACTGTACGAAGTGGGAAAGCAAGTATTTGGGCCTGTTAAAAGTGAGCCAGGGGCTGGATACAGAATGAGCTGGAAGAATGTTGCTTGGGGCAAACCTTAGCTTCTACCCCTTAATCACCAGAGGGTCCACTGGTAACTGCTGGGAGTTACCCCTGCATGTGGCCCAGAACAAAACAAGCAAATCAGTTAAATATAACATTCTGGGACTGAAGCAATAGTCAGCGAGCAGGGCATTTGCCTTGCACGCAGCCAACCCAGCTTTGATCCCCAGCATCCCCAAAACAGTCAGGCATGATCCCTGAGCGCAGAGCCAGGAGCGAGCCCAGAGCATCACCCTCAAACACAATAAAACAGAAAATGAGAGCATTCTCTTGGGTATCTTGCTATTTTGTGATTGTCAGGCCAGGGACTTTCATGGCACTGTTAGGACCTTTGCAGCTGTAACTGGGGTGGGGGAAGGGGCAAGGGTGGTGACTGTCTGGGCTGTGATAATGAGACCTTTCTGGAAGGAAGGAGAAAGGTAACTGTTTCTGGCCCGAGAGTCGACAGGCCACCGATAGGCCACTGCCGGAGAAGGTTGGGCTCTGTTGCTAAGCTGCTCCCTCTCCCTGGGTCGAGGCCTGGGTGTGGTGTGGATGGGCAGGGCCTCAGGATTCCAGCTCACCAGCTGTTCTGGGGGTGGCAACTCTGCACCCCTGAATGGGCAGAACATAAAGATTCCAAACACGTGTTCCCCCGTCTCCAGCCACTCAGCAGTCACGCCCATAAGCCACCCTTGGCTGGCGCCAGATAATCTCGTCATCGGCCACCATCCAGATCACACATCCTTCTCTCCTTAAGGGAGCAACATGACGCTCGCCATAACCCTGCTGCTGGACTCTGTGCCAGGCTGTTTCACTCGAGGCGCCCCAGAGGTGGGCAGGTGTGAGACCCCTCTCCACCCCAAGGAGCCAGCCCCAAGCAGCCGGAAACCTCCAGAACTCAACCACTGCCATGCTCCAGGCCACTCTCCACATGCTCAGGCCCAGCCTCACCCACGAGTGAACCTTTCCTTGGACCTTGTGGTCACAGCATTTCATTGAACGCACCCTACCCATAGTCCAAGAGTATGGCACCACATGTGATGGGATTCAAAGTAGGAGGCAACCAACCTTAGAGGGAAGGTAAAGGTAAAGGTAAAGGCCCTCCCGTTGATCGTTGATTTGCTCGAGCGGGCCCAGTAACGTCTCCATTGGAGACTTTGTTGTTACTGTGTCTGGCATATCGAATACTCTCGGTAGCTTGCCGGACTCTCCGAGAGGGGCGGAGGAATCGAACTCGGATCGGCCATATTGGCCCCTTGTAAGGCGAATGCCCTACCCGCTGTGCTATCGCTCCAGCCCAAGAGGGAAATAGTATATTATTTCGGTTCTGCTTTGGGACAGGGATTAGGGTTTGGGATGGAAACACCCGAAATATGGTGGTGGGAAGGTGTAATGGTGGTGGGATTGGTATTCGAATATCAAATGTAATCAAATGTTGTGAACTACTTTATAAAATAAAAAAAAATTCCAAACAGATTGGAGCCCCAAGATCACCTGCCAGGGTTGGGGAACACGACTGGTTGCAGTGAAAACTCTCATCCAGTCTAACTTTTCCCTTTTTCCATTTTTGGCACCAAGGACCCTCTGAGCCACCCTGGCAGTGCTTGGGGCCGCCTAGGGGTCTACATGGTGAAGCAGGGGGCTGTGGGTGCCAGGCCCCAAGCTGGAGCCGAGCATGTAGAAGGTGTGTATAGACACACTTCAAGTACCTCAACGGACAGGGAACACGGATAGTTCACAGAAAGAGATCGAAAAGAATACTTCCAAGCTCAAAAAAAAGGTCTGCCTTCACTCAAATGCACATGGGAAGGATGAGGTACTTTGACAAAGGTTTAAAAATAATACTTTTCAAGAGCTCAAGCAGTTGGAGCTTGGGCTTTGCATGCAGGAGGCCCAGGGTCAATCCCCAGCACCCTCTGATGCCCAGAGCACTGGTGGGAGTAGTCTCTGAACACCCCTCGTGGGTTTCAAAAATAAAAATAATAATATTTTCAACTCACGATCACGATCATACTGTTGTTCGTCGATTGCCTCGAGCAGGCCCCAGTAACGTCTATTCATCCTAGCACCTGAGATTTGAAAAAATGCCATATTCAAGGCTATTTCAGGATTAGGAGAATGAGACCCATCGTTGTTACTGGTATTTGGCATAGTGGGTACGCCACAGGGAGTTTGCCAGACTCTGCCGTGTGGGCAGGTAACATTTTCAACTCAACAATAAAGAAAATCGAAGGAACATCGTAAAATCAGTAAAGAATCTGATTCTTTCCTCCCAAGGGGCAGTAAACTCACATGAAAGATGAACAATGACATTAACCAACAGGAAATGCAATTCAGAAGGACAGTGACTTTGCACGCACACGTGCCAGACTGGGGCAGTCAAAAGAGAGACGTCAAAGGCTTGGTGATGATACGGCTAAATGGGAGCATCTTACATGCATCGTGACGGAAATGTACAAGAGACGAGTCCTGTGGGGCCCTGTGTCAGTTTTCCCTGGGGTTAGGCAGAGCCTACACTGTCCTGTTCCTGGTCTGTGAAGCGAGGTGTGAAGCATGCATCCACACAGCAACACGCGAGCAGCACGCCTTGCTCAGAGCAGCCAGAAAGGGAGGAGAGGTCTGAATAAAACATCTGTGTGGTGGGAGATTGGCCCAGGACATAAAGAAAGGCATTGGTGGCACATGCTTACAGCATGAAGGGAACTGGAAGCCATGCTGATGGCAGGCTGTGACACAACATATTTTGCACGATCCCGTTTATAGCGGCCCGGCTAGGCCGCGTTCGATTCCTCCGCCCCTCTCGGAGAGCCCAGCAAGCTACCGAGAGTATCTCGCCCTCACGGCAAAGACTGGCAAGCTACCTGTGACGTATTCGATATGCCAGACACAGTAACAACAAGTCTCACGATGAAGACGTTACTGGGCCCGTTCGAGCAAATCGATGAATAATGGGAGGACAATGCTACAGTGCCTGTTTATAGCAAATGTCCAGGGTGACAGAGGAAACAAATCTGTCTCTTCAGGCAGAAAGTAGATTTGCCGTTGTGAAAAGCTGGAGTTCATGGGGGACAGCAGTAGAGTGTCTTTTTTTTATTTATTTATTTTATTTTTTAAAAATTTTCCCCCAGGGGACTATAGGGAGTAGGGATCAGCCCTTGAAGAGCTTAGAATTTCCCACCACTGGTCCCATAATGCAGCCCTAACAGATATGCCTCACATTAAAACCCCGGGTTATGAAGATCCATAGTTAAAAATATGCATCAAGGAATTAGACTCTATCCAGTATGTATATCTGTTTTATGTAATAGCTGATGCTTAGAAACAGTTTACATATAAGCAGCTATAAGGAAGTGATAAGCTCTAAAAATGACAGTTATTAGATAATCAATAAAATCATGGTTTTTGAGGTCCATTTTGTAATAAAGGAGATAGTTGTGATAGGATATCAAAAGAAAACATGATAAGCTGGATAGGCTGCAGTAGAAAAAGGGTTGACTCAGCAGGCCCAAGGCTGCTTCCCCTTAGAAGGGGCCTGCTGGCAGGATTGGTCCCTTACCTGGTGTCAGGAGCCTGGCCCTCACAGGGGCAGAGTGGTGGCTCTGCAGGTGGGAGCACATGCTTTTTATTGCCAGAGCCCCAGTTCAGTCCCCAGCCCCGGATGGTCCAACCAGCACATGAGGTATTGTCAAAAACTGAAAAGATGGGGCTGGAGTGATAGTGTAGCTTTGCACGCGGCCAACCCAGGTTCAATCCCCGGCATCCTATATGGTCCCCCAAGCAATGCCAGGAGTAATTCCTGAGTGTGGATCCAGAAGGTATCCCTGTGCATCACCGGGTGTGACCCAAAAAGCAAAAAAAAAAAAAAAAAAAAACCAAAAAAACCCAAAACCAAAAACAAACAAAAAAAACCCCTGAAAAGACAGAAATGAAGTGCTCCCTTAGCCTACCCGGTGATAAGCTTGACTCATTGTGCTCAAGACAGATTGCAGATCACGAGGTGCCTTCGTGACCTGTTGCCTGTGAAGTCTCAGGGATGCTTGTTTTCATGGGCTGGCTGGCCCCAGCAGGCACATCCCCTGTCCCTGATGTTGCATATTTTTTGTTCTTGCTGGGGGAAGAATGTGCTTTCATGATAGGGAGAAGCAAAGGAAGCCGCATATGCCTTCTCTCCCCTATGACCCGCTCATGGACACTTTCCAAATTGCTGTCAGTCACCTGAGTGGTCAGCAGGTGGGTGAACCCTGAGCCCTGAGAATCTCAGGGGTCTCCAAATACGGGGTGGGGGAGGGGGGGTCTGTGGACTCCTGACATAGCCGCTGATGTGAAAAATACCAGCACGCGTATGAAATAGTGTGTCGAGAAAGAAGGCAGCCCCCAGTAACTGATTGGGATATTCCTGACTCAGTGCTTAGGGGGACCGGTTAGTGGCTGGAATTGAACCCAGATCTCCCACATGCAAAGTGTGTATCCCAGCTATTGTGTTCTCTTTCTCCGGCCCAACTTTTCGTTTTCTTTTGTTTGGGGGCCATACCTGGTGATGTTCAGGGTTACTCCTGGATCTGCACTTAGGAATTACTCCTGAGTGCTTAGGAGACCATATGGGATGCTGGGGATTGAACCCAGGTCAGCTGCACACAAGGCAAGTGCCCTACTCTCTGTACTATCGCTCCAGCCCTCAGCCCCCTTAAAAAAAAAAAATATATATATATCCTTTTGATTGTTACCCATATTTTCCATGTTGGTGATTACTTTTATGTTCAGAAAAAAACAGCTTTTAAGATAGTTTGTTGCATTGCATGGGGCATCTGTACTTACCGATGGGGCCTCTCTCGTTTTCCCTTAGGGTTGCAATCCTCTTGCACAAACTGGTCGGAGCAAACTGCAGAATCAGAGAGCCGCCTTGAACCAGCAGATCCTGAAAGCTGTACGGATGAGAACAGGCGCAGAAAACCTCCTGAAGTAGGTGCTTGCTGCCCTCACTGACTCTTGTGTCCCAGCCTTCTCTCCCCTCAACTCTTTGGCCGGCCTTGCTTCCTGGCCAGCTCTTCACAATGCCTGTGGGATTCTTCCTCATTTCTGAGGATCTTTCTTGCCCAGAACTTGGGGGTGGCCATGCTGGGCTTATGCTTCCACTCTGATGCCACATCTTTGGTCCTCTACCCTCTCCGAACTTGATTTTATTTTATTTTTTTCAGGGAGTGGGGTGTTGAGCCATACCCTGTGATACCCAGGTGTTACTCTTGGCTTTGCACTCAGGAGTTACTCTTGCAGGTGCTCAGGGGTCTGTATGGGTTGCTGGAGATTGAACCCAGGTCGGCTATGTGCAGGGCAAGTGCCTTACCCGCTGTATTTTTTGTTTGTTTGTTTGTTTGCTTGCTTTTTGGGTCACACCTGTCGGTGCTCAGGGGTTACTCCTGGCTTTGCACTCAGGAATGACTCCTGGCGGTGCTCAGGGGACCATATGGGATGCTGGGATTTGAACCCGGGTCGGCTGCGTGCGAGGCAAACACCCTACCTGCTGTGCTATCACTCGAGCCTCAATACCCACTGTACTATTGTTCTGGTCTACTTGACTCTATAAAGACAAGTTGCTACCCGGGTTGTCCAGTGTCTTTGGGGGTGGTGGTCCCCATTGGGAGTCTAGTTCCGTTTTGTTTCATCCAGTTCTCGCATCTGTTTTTTGTTTTCTTGGCTTTCCACAGGGCTGTTTTCTGCCCAGCCCAGCCTGTTCTAGAATTGCTTGTTCGGTAAATGTGGGCCAGAGGCAGAAAAGAAGTGAGGGTTGGACAGGAGGAAATGGACATTTCTGCTGCCTGCGTGCGTCCCTAATGAGAGGGGCTGCCCTCATTATTATGCTCTGGTGGTTTTTAACCTTGTCGCGGATCCGGTGGAGAGAGCGCGCAGTGAAGCCTGCCTTCCTGGCATTCGGGGCAGCCTCGGCGCCAGCGGGGGCCGCTCCCTCCTGTTTACACACAGTGCAGCCTCCTTCCTGTACACGGAGGTGGACTCTGGCCGGCCCCAGGCTGTCTTCTGCTCTGGGTGGTTGAGGCGGGGACCAGGGTTGAGGCAGCCCGGGTAAGTGAGGCCCAGGAGGCACCCAAGAAAGAGCGGTGGATATGAGATTTCTCCAGACCCTAATTATCTGGAATTTTGGAGTTCCAGGAGCACGCAGCCACTCTTATGCTGTTCATAGCAAGCAATACAAAAGAGGGTTTGGGGGAGATTTTCTGCCATAGAGGCAGGGGGAGGGGTGGGCTGGGGGAGGAGACTGGGGTATTTGGTGGTGGAAGAGGTGCACTGGTGGAGGGTCAGGTGATCGATCATTGTATGACTGAAACTCAAACAGGAAAACTTTGTAACGGTATCTCACGGTGATTAAAATAATAATGGGGGCTGGAATGATAGCACAGCGGGTAGGGCGTTTGGCTTGCACGTGGCCAACCCGGGTTCGATTCCCAGCGTCACATATGGTCTCCTGAGCACCGCCAGCAGTAATTCCTGAGTGCAGAGCCAGGAGTAACCCCTGAGCATCGCTGGGTGTGATGCAAAAATAAATAAATTAATTAAAAAATAAAATTAAATTAACTTTCTGAATGATAATTAAAAAAAGTTATTGTGGAGTTTATTCAATCAACTTAATCAATGGCTGAATAAATAGCAGTACTCCTACATTAAAAAAACAAAAGAGCGGTGGAGAGTGAGTGCTCATGGGAACTGGAACCCAGAAACTTGGCAGGATGTGGGCAGTGACTGTTGCCAGGGGTTGAGGGCAGACTTTGCTCTTGATGGCCCTAGGCAGTCCTCCTCAGTCTACTCAGGAGGCCGTTGGAAGAGTAAATACACAATCCCGATGTTTGTCAGAGAGCCCCGGGGGTTCTCTGGGGGTCACAGATGTGTGTAAGGGACGAGCCCAAGCTACGTGACAGTCATGACAGAATGAGCTTTGGGGGTCATCAAGCTGGGGATGCCTCTTAGGAGACATTCCTGGGGTAGTAAGTCAGGGCAGCATGGCCCACGCATGTGTAGAAAGGGTTTGAACATGCACTTTGCATATGGACAGATTCCACCACACACCCTTCTCCAAGAAGGACAGAGAAAAAGAATCAGCTTTTGGAAGCCAAACCTGGGCTGGGGGCGTGGATGCAACCCCTCAGTCCTCACTCCCTGGAGTTTGTCTTACTTTGGTTTGGGGTTTGCACCTGGTTATGTTCAGAGCTTCTCTCCTGGAGGTGCTCGGGAGCCAGGTGGGGATTGAACCTGGGTCGGTCCCATGCAAGGCAAGCGTCTCACCTGCTGCACTGTCTCTCTAGTCCCCCATAGTGGTTTTGTTTTGTAAATTTTGGGCCCCACTTGCTGGTGCTCGGGGACCAGCCCCAGTGCCGTGCTTGGGAATTGATCGCGCCTCTGGCATACAGAGCGTGAACGTGAACTTGAGCCCACAGACTATTCCTGCACCTCACTCAATGTCTTTGAGCGTTCTTTTATCCGGTGGAGGAATGGCTTTTTTTTTCTTGGTTATTGTTTTGGGGCCACATCCGGTGATGCTCAAGGCTTACTCCTGGCTCTGTGCTCAGGAATTACTCCTGGGGGTGCTTGGGGGGACCATTGGGGGACCATTGGGGGTGCTGCTGCTGATCGATTCTGGGTCAGTCACTTGCCAGGCAAGTGCCCTTCCCGCTGTGCTGGCTCACCACCCCAGGAATTGCTTTCCTTTCTTTCAAAGTGTTCTGCAGAAACCCATGAGAGTTGCCCAGTGACCCGGCCTGGCCCTTCCTCAGGAGTGCAGGTGCCGTCTGTGCTGGCCCCGTTCCTGGCGCTCAGTGTGACACCCAGGCAGTTCTCCAGTCCATGCTGCAGAGCATTTGGAGGCCACTTCTGCTTGTTGAGGCGGAAGGGACAGGGGAGATGGGACCTTTCCCTTGTGACAGTGTCGCTGTTCCTGGAGAGGTCTGGATCTGGCCACTGTCGGGTCTGTAGACCCGGTTTGTGTCGGTGGGGACAGATCTCTAGCTGGGGGCAGCCTGCAGAGTGTCTGGTTGTTCATGCTGGCCAGCCCCCCTCCCCTGCCCCCCGCATTTTGCAGCTGTGGGTTCTGGTGATGGGCCAGCTGTGCAGTGACAGGCAGGGGGTCAGCCTTCTCAGTGGTCTCGCACGGCTGGGCTGCCTCTGCTTGCTTTAACCAGCACATTTGTTGGACTCCTGGGAAGTACTGGAGAGTTTGGGGTGCAGAGGATAAGACTTTACGCCATTCAAAGGAGATGCAGCTGAATCTCTTGTGGGGAGACCTAAAGACATGAGTAAACAAGTCAGTTATGGGGCTGGAGCACAACGGGTAGGGCGTTTGCTTTGCATGCGGCCAACCCGGGTTCGATTCCCAGCATCCCATAGGGTCCCCTGAGCACCTCCAGGAGTAATTCCTGAGTGCAGAGCCAGGAGTAACCCCTGTGCATCGTCAGGTGTCACCCAAAAAGCAAAAAACAAAAACAAAAACAAAAACAGAAACCAAAACAAAACAAAAACCAAGTCAGCTATGTTAGCTGGGGCGTTTTTCTGGGGCGTCTGCGAAAGGAAATGTGAGCGAGGTGGTAGGGCCCCAAGAGAGGACTGGTCAGGGGCCCTGCCAACAGGGGCCTGGGAGTTTTGATGAGGGGGACCAGGGTGTGCTTGTCTGTCTTCTCTGTTAACGAGACCAGCCAATAGCCTCTCTGGAACCTGGAGCGCTCAGACTCACAGTCAATCCCATGGAGGGTGCGGGATGTTGGGGTGGGCGTGGGGCGCTGCTGTTAATGATTCTGGTAGTGACCTGAGAGTTCAAAGTGCCCCTCTCCTGAGAATGTTGTCAGAGAAAACCCTAAAGGTATTTATTAATCTGACTCAACTGGCACCAACGGTTTCCCAAAACTACAGGGCGCTGAGCCAAGCCTCTGCCGCCCGCCCGGTGGCTGGTGCTGCCAGCACGGGGCCCCTTTCAGCCCCGATCGGGACCCCACCGCCCTGCCTGCCAGTGTTCAGGTTCCCCGGGGCCTTGGAACCATAGCCCCCTACCGTGAAGGTAGAGCAGTTGCAGTGGGCGCAGGGGGTGTCTTTCTGGAAAGTTCTCCACCAGATGCGGCAGTACGGGGTCTTTTTTGGCATTGGTTAGGGTTATCAGGGTTGGCCAGGCATAGGGGAGCCAGGCCTGTGTCCCTCAAGCTTTTTTCTGAGCTTGCTGGTTTGACTCAGGTACAGCAGGTATTTTTCTTTCTTTTTTTTTTTTTTTTTGGAGAGCCTGGCGAGCTACTGAGAGTATGTCGCCCGCACGGCAAAGCCTGGCAATTCCCCGTGACATATTCAATATGCCAAATACAGTAACAAGAAGTCTCACAATGGAGACGTCACTGGGCCTGCTCAAGCAAATCGGTGAACAACGGGAAGACAGTGCTACAGTACTAATAAATTTTATTGCATCACCGTGAGATGCAGTTACAAACTTTCATGATTATGTTTCAGTCACACAATGATCGAGCACCCATCCCTCCACCAGTGCACATTTTCCACCACCAATTTGCCCAGTGTCCCTTCTGCCACCCCAACCCCATCACACCCCCTGCCTCTTCTGTGGCAGGTACACTCCGTCTTACTCTCTCTCTCTCTAATTTGGGGCGTTATGGTTTGCAATACAGATACTAAAAGGCCATCATGTCTGGTCCTTGGTCTACTTTCAGCACACATCTCCCATCCCGGGCAATCCCTCCAACCATCATTGACTTAGTGGTCCCTCCTCCATCCCAACTTCCATTTCCCCCAGCACATAGAGCCAGCTTCCAAACCGTGTTGTGATCCTCCTGGCCCTTATCTCTGCTGCCCTTAGGTGTTAGTTTCATATTAGAGGGCAGGTATTTTTGACGGACTGTGGCCTCGCTGGGCTCGGAGTTTCTCTGGGGAAAGGTGGGCTCTGCAGTGGGACTCAGGCGGGCCCT